CAGAATGTGGTGATCGCAATCGGCATTCCGAACCGTGGCATGTGTGTATGTCGTCAAGAGCAAACTCCGAGAGGAGGTGATAGAAGAAGAGTAAACAGTGGTATTCTGTGAGGTCTGTACAGAGACTGTGTTGTAGCTGCAAAGGTCCTGGGCTCTTGATCTTGAGAATTTCCAATCGTGAGTGATTGTGGAGGAACACTGTGAGACATGGTGCTGGGTCATCCGTCCGTCATGATGTCTCACCGGTGGCAAAATACACTCGGTACTATTTATAGCAAACCGATGAACCTGGCCATTTTCCGGGGGACTGGTTTGGTGTATTAATGATTCCGACTCTTTTGACTGCAACTTCTGTATTTATCATTGCTTTTATTGCAGCTCCTCCAGTAGATATCGATGGCATTCGTGAACCTGTTTCTGGTTCTTTGCTTTACGGAAATAATATAATCTCTGGTGCTATTGTTCCTACATCAGCAGTTATTGGTTTTTCATGTGAGTGAACTATCGAGAAGGTATACAGTCTTTACTAATAGGTGTTTTCATTTATGTAATAATGGCCATCAGTGTAAGATGGATTTCGTTTCTTTTTTCGTTTCGTGTGTCGTGTGGCAACGCCCATGGACAGTCGATTTTCCACCGCTATTTGTGACAACTGTCCAAGCCATTTGACACACGGATAGCGGACAGTCAGTGGAGCGACGTCGACGTCCCAGTCCATTTTTTCTGTATAGTGGACAGTAGTGGATAGAGGTCGCCCTATGTTTGTTTGTTTTTGCATTAAATTGGTACTAAGATTGTGGTGAATGGGGGAATCTGGGGATGAAAGGTGAAGAATCCAACATCCAAAAGCCAATGGGTGTTTGAAATGATGGGAAAAAGTAAGGCTATGCCGAGTGGAAAAAATATGGGCACGGGTTAGGCTACCAGCCGGGCCACTCGGGTCCCGGGTGGCCAGCCCGTGCAAAGAACAGGGAAGGTCCCAGAAAAAACAAAAACGAAAAAGAAATACAAAAAAATCCACAAAAAAAGCAATGTTATGCAGAAAAATAAACTGAACAACTTTTGCCTCAGGGTCACATCCAAATTCTTTACCGAATTCAAAATAAAAACTAAAACTTGAAAATAATGCTATTAATCTTACTATTTTTTGTTAATGTTTTTGGCCCGGCTGGGCAGGTGACCCCGGGCCACTCTGGTAGACTAGGGCACGGGTACGGATGCGCGCGGGTGTGAGAGACCGGGTTCGGATGTCGCAGGAGCTAGGTGGATGAAATTTTGCCCTGTATGTTGCTGGGTAGGGGGGTATGGCTACCATTGTCGATGTTGCGTGGCCTTGGTATGGGTAGGAAATTTTTAAATCAGCTTGGGTGGCCTGGGTGTGGGTAAGAAAAATTGTATTAAGGTGGGTTGGCCTAGACGTGGGGTGGCTTGTATTAACGCATGGGCCTGGGTTGGATTTTATCTACAGAAGAGTTAATATGCCCAATGGATTATTATTGGAACCAGGGTAATCGGTGGACGGGCTGAACGCACGAACCCGAACGTCAGAACGTACCGGACCCCTTGGGGATACGCTCGGCCGTTCGGGCCAAACAAGGACCCAAAAAAAAGAAAAACAAGAAAAAAAAACAAAAAAACAAAACAATTTAAAAACATCTGAAAAAGGGATATGTTGTGAAGAAAAATAAAATAAACAACATTTTCTTGAGCATTACATCCAAATTCCTTACCAAATTTGAAATAAATAAAAAAATACAGAAAATAAAAATATTAAGAAAGATAATAAGAAACAAATTCAAAAAATGAAAAGAGAATTAAAACTAGTGAGTGAGCGAGCATGTTTTCAACACTGCCATCTTTGACGATTTTTCGTTGTTTCTTGGGACAGGCAGATGCCCTGAAAATTTACAGGGGTGCGGTCCCACCAGCAAAGAGGATTGGATTGAACGCCTGAATCTGGACGGGTTTGTGCAAAGATGCAGAAAATTGAGATTGAACTGCTTTTCTGCCTCTCTGCTGAAAACAAGCCCAGATTCAGGAGCTTTATCCGATCCTCTTCACTAGTCGGATCTCGCCCCAGATGTGCACTTCGCATAATGCAAAACCCGCTAAAAAAAATTCAAAAAATAATAAAATTGTTTAGGCCCTGCAATAGAGTGAAAACAGAACTAAAAAGTGAAAAGAAACAGAATAGTAAGTGGGCGAACACGTTTTGACGCCGCCATCTTCGCTGATTTTCAATTTCTGTTTGGCGAAGCAAAACGACTTCAAAATTTATAGGCATGTATCTCATCACATCATACGGAACTCACAGAAAAAAAAACATCAGAAACACGAACTTATTTTTAGGCCCCGAAATAATTTTGGCGTGGGCCAAACGCTGTTGGGTTCGGACTCCGAACGTGACCCCGAACGCCCGTACGTACGGAGGTCTGCCTGGGAATGGTGACCCTGATTGGAACTATATTGATGTAACGCAGCAATATGAATATGACTATGGGTAGGAGAGAAATATGGTTTTGTGACATTTGAATACTACGTCTAGAGGTTCTCCACCTTCTGCATTGTAATGTGGACGTTCGGTGATTGTACCACATTCCTGCCATTCGTATCAAGGACTTATATATTGTTAAACAGAGACCTGGCAGAGAGGGAGGGAGAAGAGGACAATAAACAAGGGCCTGTAAGTATGTCGTCATATATATATATATATATATATATATATATAGCCCCTCGTTTGTTGTCCTCTTCTCTCTCTCTCTGCCTACGGTTTACCGGGCAGTTCTGTTTGTGAATATATATATACGGTGAAACTCCGACGAAACAGTTTGTCACAGCCCCTCATTTGTTGTCCTCTTCTCCCTCTCTGCCTACGGTTTACCGTCGGCAGTTCTATTTGACGATATATATATATAGGGTTCAGCCTCCTGATGAGTCGGTGAAACTCCGACGAAACAGTTTGTCACAGCCCCTCGTTTGTTGTCCTCTTCTCCCTCTCTGCCTACGGTTTACCGTCGGCAG